ATGATCATGCTAAGATATTTGGCATGCAGCATTACCTTGTGATCCTCTACAAAAATTTTATAAATCATACCACTGGGGTAAAAAAGGCAGTCCTTCCCCAGGGGACACTTAGGTTTACATTGGTTTATATAGGAAAATACATATAAGTATTCTTTAACAAAACTGCGAATCCCAGAGTATAGATATTTGGCATGTTGTCGTGCCCATTGGATCAAATTTGGCCACGCCCAGGGGTCACTTTGTTTATAATTGTTTTAGTTTATTAGCTCACCTGTCACAAAGTGACAGGGTGAGCTTTTGTGATGGCTTTTCGTCCGGCGGCCGTCCGTCCGTCCGTCCGTAAACTTTTACTTTAAATGACATCTCCTCATAAACCACTAAGCCAATTTCATCCAAACTTCACAGGAATGTTCCTTTGGTGGTCACCTTTAAAAATTGTTCAAAGAATTTAATTCCATGCAGAACTCTGGTTGCCATGGCAACCGAAAGAAAAAACTTTAAATATCTTCTTTTAAAAAACCATAAGAGCTAGAGCTTAGATATTTGGCATGAAACATCTTCTAGTGAGTGTCTACCAAGTTTGTTCAAATAAAAGCCCTGGGGTCAAAATTGGCCCCGCCCCGGGGGGTCATTGATTTTCCCTATATGCATATAGTAAAAACTTAAAAAATCTTCTTTTAAAGAACTCAAAGAGCTATGGCTAAGATATTTAGCATCAAACATGTTCTAATAGGTGTCTACCAAGTTTGTTCAAATAAAAGCCCTGGGGTCAAAATTGGCACCGCCCCGGGGGTCATTGATTTTCCTTATATGTGTATAGCAAAAACTTAAAAAATCTTCTTTGAAAAAACCCAAATAGCTAGAGTTAAGATATTAAGCATGAAACATCTTTTAGTGAGTGTCTACAAAGTTTGTTCAAATAAAAGACCTGGGGTCAAAATTGGCCCCGCCCCGGGGGTCATTGATTTTCTTTATATGTGTATAGCAAAAACTTAAAATCTTCTTTGAAAAAACCCAAATAGCTAGAGTTTAGATATTAAGCATGAAACATCTTCTAGTAAGTGTCTACAAAGTTTGTTCAAATAAAAGCCCTGGGGTCAAAACTGGCCCGGCCCCAGGGGTGTCATTGTTTTTAACTATATGTGTATAGTAAAAACTTAAAAAAAATCTTCTTTTAAAAAGCCCAATGAGCTAGAGCTTAGATGTTTAGCATGAAACATCTTCTTATGGGTGTCTACCAAGTTTGTGCAAATAAAAGCCCTTGGGTTAAATTGGCCCTGCAAGGTTGGGGGTTGGGGGGGGGGGGGCTATATACAGGTGAGCGACCTCAGGGCCATCATGGCCCTCTTGTTAGTTTTTTAAGTCTTCTTGTGGGAAACTAAAATGTCAAGAGAGCTCTGAGCTTTGATGTTTTTTTATGCCCCCACAATGTGGGAGCATATAGCGTTGCACTTGTCCGTCCGTCCGTCCGTACGTCCCGAAATCTTGTGAACGCAACTCTTCTTAAACCGGATGGCAGATTTTGCTTAAACTTACAGGGATGAACAACCTTAATGTGTAGATGGTAGTAAAGGAAGGAATTTTCGCTGCGACCAAATTTAACAGAATTATGGCCCTTTGTTGATTTTTTCACTAGATACTATGTAGAAATTTTGTGAACGCAACTCCTCTTAAACCGGATGGCAGATTTTGCTTAAACTTACAGGGATGAACAACCTTAATGTGTAGATGGTAGTAAAGGAAGGAATTTTCGCTGCGACCAAATTTAACAGAATTATGGCCCTTTGTTGATTTTTTCACTATATACTATGTAGAACTTTTGTGAACTCAACTCCTCTTAAACCGGATGGCAGATTTTGCTTAAACTTACAGGGATGAACAACCTTGAGGTGTAGATGGTAGTAAAGGAAGGACTTTTCGCTGCGACCAAATTTTACAGAATTATGGCCCTTTGTTGATTTATTTACTATATACTATGCAGAAATTTTGTGAATGCAACTCCTCTTTAACCGGATGGCAGATTTTGCTTAAACTTCCAGGGATGAACAACCTTAATGTGTAGATGGCAGTAAAGGAAGGAATTTTTGCTGCAACCAAATTTAACAGAATCATGGCCCTTTGTTGATTTTTTCATTATATACTATGTAAAAATTTTGTGAACACAACTCCTCTTAAACCGGATGGCAGATTTTGCTTAAACTTCCAGGGATTAACAACCTTAATGTGTAGATGGTAGTAAAGGAAGGAATTATTGCTGCGACCAAATTTAACAGAATTATGGCCCTTTGTTGATTTTTAGTTTTCAACTTGTGGCACATGTAGTCCAAAAAATATTTGACCTAGTGTCATAAGATTGACAGAACAGTGGCGTGTGGGGGCATCCGTGTCCTATGGACACATTTCTAGTTTATATTTGGCATGCATTATTGCCTGTGGACATCTACAAAAGTGATGTTAGTGATAATCCTTTGGTTATAAGGGAAAAAATTTGGGTCACTCAGTTAACATAGACTATAGCTAAAACGTCTTTAAAATCTTATACTCTGAAAGTACAACGTCAAGAGTTTAGATATTTTGCTTGTAGCATTACCCTGTGGTCTCCTATACAGTTAGAAATTGTGCCTCTTGGGTGGAAATTGGCCCACCAAAGGGGTCATTTAATTTATATATATTTCTTTAGAAAAACAGATTTAAGTCTTCTTTTGTGAAAGCTTAGATATTCGGCATGTAACATTGCCTAGTGGACATCTATAAAAGTTGTATAAGATATAATCTATGTCCCTAATAAAAATGTCCCCGCCCTTAATATGTGTCACTTAATTTATATATAGACTTGTATGATAAAAATGTCTTTACCATCTTCTCTGAAAGTCATACCGGTATGTCAAAGGTTAGGTCGTGAATCATAAAAATGTATACTAGTTAATTAATCGACAACAAACTATTCCTTCAATTTAGGAAAAAAAATAAGTGCGTATTGTCTGTTGATAAGGGGAAGGTGGAACGGGATAACTTTCTTAATATTGTTTGCTCTCTCCAAGCTAAACAGTCCCGGGATTCAAACATGTCCTTTACACTACACTACCAGTGGTTAGTGTTTGTTTGTTTGTTTGTTTGTTTCATTTTACGCCTTTTCCCAACAGTATTTCAGTCATATAGGCGGGTAGTTTCCTAGCCATCGTTCCTGGAGAGTTACACCAGTACTAGATTACCTTCCTCCGTGCTAAACTACCAAAGCATCTTCCGGGGATCGAACCCATGCCAGAGAGGTAACTGGATTAGAAGTCATCGACTCTATCCCCTCCACCACGGAGGCGGTAGTTTTTGTTAGTAAGCTAGGTATAATTAAAATATTCATACTACAGTTTTCATAGGTATATAACAGCGTCCTTTTATATCAGGAATCTTATAACTATGAAATTATCTTAACTATACTGTATAGTATCAGTTTGATTATGCTAGTCCAGCATGGTTCAATAGAAATTTTATGGAATAACCAAAAACCATATGAAATAAATTACAGGTTACCCGAAATAAGGTTTTAAGATGTATTATTGATACTTCTCCAAGAACTTACTTATAAATGATTATTTTAACAGTTTATGTACGCTTAGACGAGAAGAATCATCTGCATACTATTCATTTATAGTAAATGCCCATTTTTTATAAATGATAACTTACATTATACAAGACTAGAAAGCACAAATTTTACTTCTACGTACCTAAAATCAATAAGTAAAAAATAACTTGTTATTGCAATGGCATCAGTGCATGAAACTTACTCCCTGAAAATATTAAACACGCCAAAACAATACTAGATAAACATAACGACCGGTATTCTACTACACCATATTTTTTGCGCATTGTGTCTCTCGTTTTTAACTTAATTGAAAATTCCTGGTGCAAGTTCTTTGTCCTTAACTGCTGAAGAAGACTTGCATCATCACAGACATTTGGGTCATATTGAAAAAGATCCACAGCTTCTGAAGACTTGCAACATCACACGACATTTAGGTCATATATTGAAAAATTCCACAGCTTTTTTAAATGACTTGAAAAATCACAGTAAATTTTATATATATTTTTTTTTCATTAACATAGTCCCCTTTAGACAAAATAAAACAAATTCTGATTGGCTCTTGTCATGTCATGATACCGAATGAGGAAAGTCAGTCGTGCTGTTCGCTGACAATGACAACTTCTAGGTGGCGTGGAAGATACCCTGCATTTACCGACACGTTCAACCAAACAGCAATCAATGCAACATTTTCGATTCTGCTGTTTTGTGCGTATTTAGGAATTTTGTTTTTCGGTATTATGTTTTACTGGAGTTCAGAATATCGAATCTAGAAAGTAGATATTTTGTTAAATGTGCTGTTTTAGAAATATCATGGTTTATTGTTCAATCACAAAATACAATTAATTTTGAAAGATCCTTTAAGAACTGATATAAATATTTGCTTTATGATACCATTGTAAAACATAGTTTTGTTAAAACGAGGAGTCAACAAATTCTGGAATGATTAGGTCTGTAAATTTATAAAAATCGCATCTAGGAAGTAAGATATTTTGTTCATTTAAGCGATATTTTAAAAATATCACATGGTTTATTGTTAAATCACAAAAACAAAATACTACTAGTTTTTAAAGATCTTATAAGAACTGATATAAATCTTTGCTATATAATACCATTGTAAAACATCGTTTTATTTAAACGTGGAGTCAACAATTTCTTGAATGATTAGGTTTGTAAATTTATACATGTGTACATGTTTATACACAGCTAAATTACATGTCGAGCGTCTTATGCTGTGTATTCTTGTAAACAATCCTATTTTAACTAAAAGTTACATAATAAGAAACGTAAACAAAGATAGTAGATCTATATATATATGCTTATATTCAAGAAAAGTCCTAAAATGTATATAGCTCCAAAATACTATTCATTATGTACTCAGCGTTTCTAATGGAAACAGTTACTCCCCTTTTGTACCGTACTTCATTTGTACAAAAGCTATAAAACCGAAAGTACATGAATTCAATATTGCGCTTAAATATTATTTTGTCTATGATGAAAATCCGTTATTAAATTGTTACGTGGATAATATATTAGAAGGTACTTTATAACTTTTATGTTTTGTTTCGCGAATCACAAGAACCTATCATAATTTCATATTGTTGATTTCATCCATGCACTACACAATGCCCAGACACTTGGGGTGTGAAGCTTAAAACGCCTTTAAAATTCAAATAAAATGTATGTTTGTCAATCCCAGCACATGTACTGATCATATCTATATATATAAAAAAGTTAATATAAGCCGTTTTGAAAAAAATTCATATTTCAACCGTATTATATATAATATTTCATATTTAAAAGTGTGGTAACAACATTAACTACAATACTGAATATTATCAGTATTGTTTCTTGCATGGCTCTGTTGTGAATATTTATGTATTATTATTTCAACATTATAATTCATAGGCCTAATATCAACAAAAAAAAACAATAACTTTGAAAAATATCAGTCCTATCCGGTATTTAAACCAAAGTCCTATTCGCGGATAGGAGTCCTATCCGGTATTAAGTCATAACGTACAATCATGACCTATTTAATTTGCTAGCGTATATTTTTATTTAATTTAAACAACAGGCGTGGATCAAGGAATTCTGACAAGACTAAATGCATAATCCAAAGGATGTTGACATGACGTAGACATTCTACCAGTTTTCCAGAGAGAGTTTAATTATTCTTGTTGTTGTTGTTTTTGGTTTGATTTGGTTTTTGAACGGTTCACCATCATATGGAGCCGAAAAAGGAAATATGACTTTGGCTTAAACTTAAAGCAACACCAGAAGTCAAAACCACAACGCTTGCTGAGACTAGTAATTCGAACCCATTTAGTGGCCTCTTACGATCACGTAGTGATGGCTGCAATGTTGGTGCCTTAAAGACAACCACTCAGTCACAAGGGGGTCCACAGGGAGTAATCAGACAGAATGTTGCTGATTCTTACTAGCTTAAGCGTGAATTTTAGTAAAGAAAAACGTATGTTTTTGATATCATAATTCCACCCACCACCCCACCCCAGCTTTTTTATCAACGCATGCAGAAGATATTTTTAATGTCTTTTGCATGCGTTAGAAACGAAGTATATATCGTTTGGTTGTTTTCAAAATTGTAAGCTATATACGCCTTCATAATGTATTTTACTGAATTGTTAATAAAAAAAGAAAGAAGATATGGCAGTGTCCGTCTGTTTTATTCTTTTGTGTTTTTTGAATTGTAAGTTTCATTTTTCTATTACTGAACTTCTCCAAAGTGCTGTGGGGTTACTGATCGAGAGACGTTATTTATTTCATTTTATCCACCAAACTAAAATTATCTTGACGTCGTTGCCTTCGATATTTCTTCGCTGAATATTATAATATGAAACTATTTAAATTAACTCAGATATGATATCAAAAATAATTTCGTTAAATACAAAAACAATACTTGCTTTCATAATAATATTTTTGAAGTTAATTCCCGTTTCTTGATTACATCATGAATCAGCTATATTGATATTTTTTTACATACAGGAACGATTATACGATGTGTTTATGCATAAATTAATATTAAAGATCCTTTGCTGTAGTTAAGGTTGTTACCACACTTCAGTGACATTTTATACATGTATACAATCATGCTTCTAAAACAATTTTCAAACATCGAAGAATATGTAAAATATGTATTGCAAATATCCACATTATATGTATGCATTCATTTATTATTGAAAAATTTGACTTAGACTTTATAGAAAATGAATTTCTAATTATCTCCCTTTATTAACATGAAGTGTGCATTCGGTAATATCTTTACAAATAATGTTTTTGGAACATACAATATTGATAAATCTTCATTTAAGCATTATATTTATGATATAAAACCATAAAAAATTGAATTACAGGATCTTTAAATGTACTGTATGTATGTACATTGTACTTCATGTACATAAATTTAGTTAAAGGTTAAAGTAATTTCATCAAGTTAAGAGGGATACACAGCCAGGAGTATGTGATGTGACAGATTTTTCTCAAATGAACATACTCAATAAAAACCGAGTCAGTAGTTGTCAACTGTGCTTTGTTTTCATTGCATTTGACTTCATATTTTTTGCAAATCTCTAGTAAGCTCTGACATGTCGAAAAGCATTTTCAGTATCTATGTAGAAAGCAAAAAGCTTAAATAACTTGATTTACTTGAAAAGTTTTGTCGGTTATCTTGTAGAATATGAATGAATTAATGGAGAATATCTGTATTCATATAAAATAACTTTTTTTTCAGAATGGCACCAACAGATACTAAACGTAAATTAGAAGATGCAGGCTTGGAGAAAACAGAAGAGGGTCTTTCAAAACGTCCAAAAGCAGCAGAAATCACTAAAGGCCAAAAAGAATGTGCTACAAGTGATTGCAAACTGGAAAAATATCTTGAAGATATCTTTTTAAAATATTGTAGAATATCCATTAATGAGAAAGAAGTGGATTTTATACGAAATGGTGTTGAAACTTTAACACTTGAGTATCTTCAGAAAACGTATCGAAATTCTCCTTGCAAGGACAAATCATGCAAAATTAGCAAATGTGGTCAATTGGAACTTGTGAGAGCAGGAAGTTTCTATGAAGGTACCAGGAACGGTTTCCCTGATGAATTTGACTTTATTGCGGTCCTAGGAACAGTTGACGAACAGCCCGATGAAAATGCTTACACTCATATTAAACAAGAGTTCTGCGCTAATTGTGAAGTATACAAGTCTAATGAATATCCTGATTATTCAATGAAATTCCGTTATACTAATGTTTCACGATGTCACCGTAAAGTTACACGTTTAGAGTATGTGTACACGCGTGGCCAAGAAGAAATGATAATTGATGTTGATATTGTTATCGCATTAAGATGTTACAAAACTGAACAATTTTACACCGTTATTTTCAACAAAGAATTTTATGAGGAAATGATTAAAACTGGAAGTTTCCTTTTTATATATACAGGAGCTTCTACTGTAGAACCATATGGACCCATGGTATTACATGCAGCACAATCGGGTACTTGGGAGAAAACTACAACAGAAACGGAAAAACGCTTTGTCAAAGATATTCTAAGCAAAAAACACAGGAAAGTGTATAGAATACTGAAATACATTATAAATGGACCCTTTGGTGGGGATCTATTTAGATATTTGGACGATGTGCAGGATTTTCGGTCTCCATTGTCTGGCTTATTTGGGACCGGTTTCAGCATTTCATCCTACGTCATCAAAATTGCAGTAATTCGCCATCATTATGCCTGCCAAAAAGATAGAAAAGGCATTGGAAACTGTGTTTGTGAAATCTTGTTTAATATAATAGCAGCATTTCCGCCATTTAAGCAAAATAATTTTCCAATTATTGCAATGCGTTCATTGCTTTGTAGCAGTGAAAATGGCCTATGTATTGGACGTGGAAATAATTACTTTTTAGAAAACATTTACAAGTGCCTTGAAGCATTTACAAAAAGACTAAAATCCCTGCAATCATCAAATGATGGACTTGAAAAATGCAATCATGATCTAGAAAACTCATTCTCAGAGATGGCTTTACGGCTTTACATGTTTACTGAATATGAAACATTTTTTATGAATTCGGATAGTGAATTTCCAAATCTAAAAATCGTTTGGCTTTCCAAGCCAAATGTAAATGAACAAGCAATGGTGAAAAAAGTTAAAGAGTACAAGGAAAAACGAAACAAAGTCCAAGATTGTCCATGGTGTGACTATCCTATACCTACAAGGAAGCTTTAAATGTTTAGTCTGTAATACTGATAACCACTTATTTCATTTTTGCATTCCAGGCTTCGGCAGAATCAATGTGCTTTTTGGTTGGAAATAAAGTTAAAGGATAGCTGCCATTGTTAGCTTTTGCTATGACTCTTCGTTAGTCGTGCGTCATACATTATTTATGTCACCGCAGCATCTGCGATGTGTTTGTGTTTTATAGATTATATAGTAAACTTAAATAATCTTTCTTCTTCTAAAGAACGATCAGTTATAAGTCAACGAAACCAGGATTGTTCCTTGGATGACGGGCTTTAAAATGGTTTTTTAAAGAATTTGAATTCATGCAGGAATCTGGTTGCCATGGCAACCAAAAGAAATTATAAGAATTGTTTTAAATCTTCTAATGACCCACAAGGCATAGATATTTTGCATAAGGCATTGTGTATTTGACCTTTACCAAGATTGTTCAACTTATAGTCCTGTGGCTAAAATTGGCCCTGCCCCGGGGTCATTTATTTTCATGATGTACATATAGTCTTTTTGTCTGAAAGTACAAGGCTTTGGTATATAATGTCATCTATAGGTCCTCTGCCAAGGTTGTCCAAATATCGTCCCGTTTGTCAAAATTGGCCCCGCCCTAGGGGGTCATATGTTTTCTTTATATGAATAAAGTAAAACTTAAAGAACATTTCTCTCTGAATTGACAAAGGCTAGAGGTTATAAAAGATATTTTGCATGAAATATTGTGTAGTGGACCTTTACCAAAATTGTTGAAAAAAATAGTCCTGGGGTCAAAATTAGTCCCGTCCCGGCGGGCATTGATTTTCATTATGTACATAAAGTAAAAACTTAAAAGACCTTGTCTGAAGGAAAATTACTCATATTGGAATGTCTTTTTAACATGTATGTCTAAAGGTCATGACCTCTAGCAAGAGAAATGTTAATTTGCTTTCGGGGATAATTATGAAATGATTAGTGGTCAAAAACTCTAGCAAGAGATGTGAGCATTGCAGGCATATGTATGAAACAATTTGACCTCATTATAAGCACTTGATTCACATCATGTATAATATTATAATGGTTGTAATGTTGTTGTTTATTATTTTGTGAACGTGTATACAGTTTGTATTGATACAGAGTTCTGGGGTAAATTAATAAGAGGAACACATATGTTAATTAATCTAGTTTAATCTAAAAACTGGTCAACAGCGGGAATCGCCTGTCTAATATGAGAGCTGCCCATTCAGGCATTCATGGAATAATACCGTACTAACATAAAAAGGTCAAAGTTAAATTTATCAGGTTTAACTGATATTACAATGCTGATTTTGAATTGTCAATGTTTTAGAAATTGGTAATGCTTAGTTGAAAAGATAGTATTGATAATTTAAGGAAAATAACTGTATCTGCATTTCAAAGTTTAATACAGCTATGTAACACAGCAAATACCTATTTTTTTGTCAAGTAAAAATCCTTTTATTTTTAAATCAGTTATTGTGCTATGGTCTTTGTATCTTAATGTCTTCCTTTTGACTTGCTGAAATATGACGTTGACCCCCAAATTCACTAGACACTTAGCTGCATTATAATGCGATGGCATAGCATTTTTTTCACAAATGCAATTTTGATTTAACATCATCTCTTTCTAGACCTCTAGGTCAATATTGCTAAAACTAGGATGGCATGAAGCTCTTAAAAAGTTTTAACATTTAAACTCCAATCAAATTCCTGTTTGCTATGGCAACTGAAATAAATACATTTAATCTTCTCTTAAGTCATAAAGGTTAGAGCTTTAGCTATTGGGCATGAAATGGACTTCTTTCAAGTTTGTTGAAATGATAGTCATGGAGTTAAACTAGTCCTGCCCATTAAATCATAGATTTTTAAATTGCCTGAGCACAACATAACAGTTCGATACGATGAAAAATGAATAAACCGTGATATGTGATTAATAATCAATTCATAAGAACCGTTAAACAGTAAGGTATTTGCCTACAATAAGTAGGCCGAAAAAGTATGTTATTATTCGATACACTAATATATTACAGCAGATCACAGATATTTTAGAACCGTAATGTCCTATATTATTTATATAATAATAAGGTAACATAAAACATTTTTTTTCATTACATTACTTAAAACAACAACAACTGATTATATCATGTTATTATCACTAAATTTAAATCCTATGACAAAAAACAGTAATTCAAGTGACGTGTCAAATACTCTAGAGCGTGTTCATAGTAAACTCTCGTAATGCATGTATATGTTACATTATTAAGTGCCAGAATTTCCAGAGGCTTGAACCACTGAATGCGCACTAAATCCTTTTCTTAATCGATCACGTGCATATGATTGAATTTGTCTACAGTTAGATCACGTGCTTTAGTATCGACTTATGCTTGACCAGCTTTTGTGCTTCGTTTTTTTTGTTAGATCTTCATTAATATAGGAATTTATTATACCCTTTTGATTTAAGTGAAGCTCTTTTAGAGTAGTTTTTGACGAGCTCTATATGAACAAATTTTTCAATTATTTCTCTAGGAAGAGTTTCATGGGCCTTTGGTGTTCCAAGTCGGTGACTGCGATCAATCTCATCTATGTAAATATTTAAGCTAATAACATTGGTCATAGATAGTATAAGTGTGTCGGTTTTCTGGCAGGCCTGATACACGCAGACAATTGAGTTGGCTATACTGCTGGACACGATCCGTATCATTTCCAGTTGAGTGACCCTGTTTCGCAATGAAGCATATCTGCCTTGACGGATTCGAGCCGATTTGTCATTTCCGTTTGAATATTGTTAATTAGCGTAGGTACTAGCTTATTAATTAGGTCTTCTATCATTGAAGACATATCAGCTTTGAAAGAATTTACCAGCTGGTTAGAGATGAATTCAAGATTCTCCGAGATTATTGTAACTTGGGTCATTGTTTGATTTCCTAATTGTATTTCGGTATTGCTAATATTTAATGATTGTTTTTTTATATTGTCCAACACATCCATTGGGGATGACAGTTCGCGCTTAGATGATGAATTTGACTTAGGAGTAGACGTATCCATTGACATGTTGACCTAAACGGTGTATATTCGAGAAATAGTATGTGGTAAACTATATAACAGTAGAGTGATGTCTTGAAGTTCATTTCACATACATGATATTTTTGGTTTGTTGGCAGGTCTTTTGATAACATACATTGATTGATGTGAAATTATAATCCAAATGACATCACATGTAACTATCTTAAGCCCCATTCACTCTGTCCCGTTAATGGCCACGTTCTCGCTACGGTGTCTTAAGCCGGTGAACCGGGGTGTTCCGTGGTATTTTTCTGAAACACAAATTGCGCTTACACATCCCCGACACCGGTTTAGCATCCGATATAGCTCCGGAAATATATGGTAAGTGCCGATTGTTACCCGATGTTTTCCCAGTTGAGACCCGACCATCACCGATTTTGCTACTGTAACGCTACAGTGATGCCGGTACTGCCCCGATGACGCCACGGTAATGCACCGATGCTTCCCGGTTCAAGTTAATGAGAATAAAACTATTTGCCTCCAGTCTTCTTCCAAAAGAATGGAGTACTGACCATACTCGAGTGGTCCTCGTATTCATGGTCGTGTTCACACACTCCTTCGTCGTCTTGATTTTGAGTACTGTTTCATCAAGCTTTGCTATTGATAAATTACATGCTGTCTGTTGATAGTACGTGTATAACTGAAGCTGAAAATGCATCAGCTGAAGATTTTTCCTATTCTCATTAAATAAATAATCCATCCTCGTGTTCCTTCACTTAACAAAATGATCCACTTTAAGTGTATATGTATTATATACCTGTTCTTTAAATTGCCGATGTCGTGACGCCACCGTCTATCATCGTTGTATAACCGGGACTTGCCGGCAATATCCGGGACTTTACCGCGTTCTCGCCAATAACCTCAATGTACCCTGATTCTACCGTAGCTCTGTCTGTTTTTTTTTTGGTTGTTTTTGTTTTGTTTTGTTTTTTACCGTGGCGACATCGTGTCATCACCTGGGCTTTGCCGTGTGGACATTGATTTAACACGTATACCGGTTTACTACGTTTTGTCACTGTAGATAAGGTGGTTCCCCGGTTTTCCCGGTGCCAAGCCGATATTACACGGTTCTGGGGTTCCTTCCCGGTGAGTGCCGGTGAGCCCCGGTTGTATTAAACATTTTAATACATTTTGTACAACCGTGGGGATCTCCTGGTTTGTCCCGGTTCACTACGGTTTGTCCCGCGCGGTACTTGACGGAATCGCTACGGCCCTACGCCGGTTTACCAAGGTTGATCCTGCTGGACTAAACCGTGGCAAAGCGGGGTGCCAAACCGGGACTGTGTAAATTGGGCTTATGAACTAGGGCATTGCTACTAGGTAAATACCTCCATGTTTTCGATTAGATAACAGACCCGTAAAGATAAGGGGCGAAGTGTCTTGAGCAGCGGCATACATATAAAAGTAAGTAAACATTTCAAGGAAAGTAAAGCAATCAACACCCTTGCATTGGTTAAAGTCTAAATTTTCTGGGCTAAAGTAGAAAAGTGTTTTTTTTATTTGCACCTCAACTCCACCACAATCAACATATTGATATGCAGATTTAATTACGGATCCTCCTTTCTCATGCGTGATTATGTAAAACGAGCTGGGACGGAATGCGCCAACAATCGATGCGCATGACTTAGGATCATACAAAATGGCTGATGGATATGACAAGCATCTTATTAAACTTTAAGACTTTAATTTAAATTTGGATGATAAGAAAGGGAATTGAATAAATTAACAAATATTAAAGTGATACTTTGTTTAGATTGAATTATTTTTTAATATTTTAAACTTCAAAGGCTGATTAGGGTGACGATACATGACCCCTGTTGATAAAATCTACTTCCTTTTATATTACACCCCATTTGTACTGTAGTTTAAAAGTTGTTTACTCATCTATACGTGGAAAATACATTATAAGGTATGAATTTATTATTTCATGCAGCGTTATATCAGATTGCAAATGGATGTTAATGTTACATTCACGTTTTTGTGTGTGACTTTTTCCCCTTTTAATTTCTTTTTCTATTTTATTTTGTATTTACTCAACGTTTTACTTTTTCATTACGTATATGAATTGTTGACATTTTGACATGCAAATGTGGACGACACGGACATGTGCAGTTTTTGGGGGCGTGGACGGTAACTTGCACTTTCCAGTACCGTCCATGAACAGGCTCAATCAAACCGAGCCTGCAACATTTTCAATTTTGCCGTGTTGGGCTTTCTTTAGGGATTCTGTATTTATCTGTTTTATGATCACATCCGTGTTATTTGTGCCGTGTGGCGGCTGTAAAAAGTCTCCCCGTACATTTAATCAATGATGTTATATTTTCGATCCTTGAAGATCGTTCAGCACGACATTGTTGTTGTGCTTGTGGTATTTTTAGTTTCAACTTTTTGGCATTTTCTAGTTGGGTGGTTCCAATATTCCTACTTGAATAATGTTGAATCACCCTTAGGATATGTTGCCTGCTTTTTAAATTTGTCTTTTGACGTCTTATCTGTGATACGCAGGCTTCATAACCTCTGATCCCCTTTCAAAATTCCATTTTATTTAGTTCCGCCCATTGTTTTCTCGTTTAGGGCACACGCTTTTTATTACTTGGGGACCATACGCCGCTTTGCATGGAATGGCGCCGAGTGTCACATTGAAGGTTCCATGATAACCGCCGTATGAACACATCTGCGGATGTTTCTAAATTCAAAATTTTACTATTTCACGTTTAAATGTTGAATTCTGCTTAAGCCGGTGCTAGGGGGCGTGGACGGTAACTTGCACTTTCCAGTACCGTCCATGAACAGGCTCAATCAAACCGAGCCTGCAACATTTTCAATTTTGCCGTGTTGGGCTTTCTTGAGGGATTCTGTATTTATCTACGGTATTTTATGATCACATCCGTGTTATTTGTGCCGTGTGGCGGCTGTAAAAAGTCTCCCCGTACATTTAATCAATGATGTTATATTTTCGATCCTTGAAGATCGTTCAGCACGACATTGTTGTTGTGCTTGTGGTATTTTTAGTTTCAACTTTTTGGCATTTTCTAGTTGGGTGGTTCCAATATTCCTACTTGAATAATGTTGAATCACCCTTAGGATATGTTGCCTGCTTTTTAAATTTGTCTTTTGACGTCTTATCTGTGATACGCAAGCTTCATAACCTCTGATCCCCTTTCAAAATTCCATTTTATTTAGTTCCGCCCATTGTTTTCTCGTTTAGGGCACACGCTTTTTATTACTTGGGGACCATACGCCGCTTTGCATGGAATGGCGCCGAAGTGTCACATTGAAGGTTCCATGATAACCGCCGTATGAACACATCTGCGGATGTTTCTAAATTCAAAATTTTACTATTTATCGTTTAAATGTTGAATTCTGCTTAAGCCGGTGCTAGGGGGCGTGGACGGTAACTTGCACTTTCCAGTACCGTCCATGAACAGGCTCAATCAAACCGAGCCTGCAACATTTTCAATTTTGCCGTGTTGGGCTTTCTTTAGGGATTCTGTATTTATCTGTTTTGTTGTTGTGTGTTTTTTGTTGGTTTTTTTTGTTGTTGTTTTTTTTGTTGTTGTTTTTTTTTCGCTCTGTTTAACATAAGCTAAAGCATGTCATACTATTATCGACATTATCGCATGGTTTGGAACTTTTCCTTTGTTCTTACTAACCCATTATACTCAGTACACTTCGATGAGCATTTGAAAACTGTATTTATATACAGCAGTACAGTTTTTTTCATTGATTCATATAGGAAAAAAACTCGGCTGCTTTATAGCGGTTGAGTTTTTTTGTCGCACCTTGCATATATCAATGTAGTTGTGTTTTTTTTTCACAGAGGCTCCAATGGGGCAGTGGTAACGAACATTCCCAGTAACAAAAAAATGGAATCAATAAAATA